GAAAGTACTGACTGAATGCTACAACAGTGGAAGAATATGTAAATATCTGAGTTTAAATAACTATAGTACAATTCCATTGTGTACTGAAGGAAGTCCTGTTGTCTTCAAGGATTGTTATATGTGTATTAATAGAGGAAGCAAACTTTAGAATGTATGCTAAGAAAACATTTGGCACACTAATCCATTTTAAGTAATCTGAATGCCAAGGAAGAGGAAACATATACCAATAGAATCTAACAAAGTCAGAGCCATTTGATCAAAACAGGAAGGAATGGGAAATAAAGACTCCATTGGATTCCACCTCATATAATTGTCTTAATTCCAGCTGGTCCTTGTAAGAATTTCATAATTTTAAGAACTGAGTCTGCATCTGCTTTCTCCTTTATCCCTCCCCGCCCATTTTTCTTTGGTGTGGTATCTTTTAGATTACCAGCTTGAAGCAAGGAGTGTCTTGTTTTATTGTGCTGCTGGCAGCATTTCTGGCTAACAAGCAGGGCAAAAATGCTATGAATAAATAATGATTATAAACAATAAGCAATGATTATCACCACGTTTCATCCCAGGAATAGTAACACACCAAATTGCTATGGTACTTAGGCTTACTGATTTCCATATGTCAGTCTACGTGCTAAATATTACCATGTGATTAAATGCTTTACTGAATCCATTTCTTATGCCAACAGTTTTGACTAAAAAATAAGGTAACTGACTTCTTAACTCTGTAAATAGCACTGCAAGTAGCCTAACATTTGTCAGCAAAATCCAGTACTAATATTACTGCTTTCCTCTCAGTACTTATTAAGCATTATTTTGTACTGAACTCTTAAAAAAAATGAATATGACACTGGGTAAACAATTATGGTTATGGCTTCAGTCGTACAAAGTACTTATTCCAGGATATGTCAAATAACTGTTAGTATAATCTAATAGGCTGGCTCAGAAAAAACATTAAGTTCCACTTCATTTGTATCCTGTGGAGGAAAAAGCTGGTAAAGATGTGTTTCATGATTCATTCAGCAATTAATTGCAGAAGTACATGCAAGAGAGATTTCTGGAGAATGGGAAAGGAAAAAAAAGATATGTTTCTCTCCCTGCCAGTTTCTGAAATTTCATCACATAAAATGGAAAGCTTTTTAACTTCATGATACTCATCCCAACAAACCTACTCCTTCATTCAAGACATAATTAGGTTTACTCCATAGCCACACAGCTGTTTCCTGTGGTCTTATTCCCTATCAGAGCTGGCAGGAAATCATGCCACCCTAAATCTTGCTGCCCCCACAGAACCCCTTTACTACACATCCAAAATGGATCTATGCTGCCTGTCCAGCTTTAAAGCACATCATTCTAAGGGTCCTGACTGGTGGTTTCTTTGGCTGAAATTCCAGCCCCAGCCAGTGTCATCCAGGAGGTGAAAAGCCTTCTCCAGTTGACGTGCACAATGCCCTAGTTACTTCTTGTGCTGCCTGCCCGCCTGCCCTCCTCTTCCCCTGCCTGCCTGCCTCCTCCTTCTGCTGATTGAACTTTGCTATTTTTATTTCTTGAAAGTGTGGGTCCGAGCACCTTAATAACCACTATGTGGCAGCAAAGAACCATGGTTTTTGTATCTCTTGGCTGCCGTCTAGTGGCTTTCCAGATCTGGTAGTTGGGATTCAATAGAAGCAAATATGTGTAGCTCAGGGTTGAACTGTGGAGTCTTTGGGGTTCTCTGAGCTTGGCTGTAACAACCAAGCTCAGAGAACCCCAAGGACTCCACAGTTGAGATTCAGCCAGTGGGTAAGAGCTGGAGTGTGAGGAAGGGTCTTAGCCATGTGAATTGGTGTGACAGCTGTACACTATCCTAGGACTAGGATGTGAAGAGAGGGAGAAAAGGACCAGGACTCTCCTGGAACAGCAGCCACTGGGAAAGGAATTGCCAACCACACAGGCTACAGAAGTACAAGAGACAGGTATTTTCTATTATACTTTCAGCTTAAGTGAAAGTCAGGGATGGGTTAATCAATTTCAGGGTTTTGCACTCTCAAGGTTAACCAGTTGACCAACCCATTAAAAAAACCAAAAACTCTGACTGTGGAACCCAGAGATCTGGTCTCCCCTGAAGCCTGAAGAGGACTGTGGGGCAAGACTGAAGAAATGGGCAGAACTGGGGCCATGACACTGCTGGCATGGTGTAGGTAATTTCAGGGTGCCTCCCCAATGACCATCAGTGCACCCTGCATTGTCTAGACACAGCATCTATATTAGCAAAAATTACCTTGCAGAGTATAGCCATCCTTGGGGTCTCAGCTGCAGAAAAACACTGAGACAACATGTTGAGGGAATGGTCAGTGTGCAGGGAGGCTGGGTGGATCCCTTAGAATCCCAAGCAAGTCCTTCACCCTGGCAGTTTTCTTTTGGCCTCTACTGACACAGTTGACATGCCAGAGCTCAACCACCTTGCCACTCTGTACTTCCTTGGTGGAGGACCCTGTCTGCTGGTCTGATATTTCAAATATTTTTCTTTTAATTTTAAAGTTAACTAATTACTGCATGTGTATGCAAGGTGTTTCCTGAAAGTACCAAAACCATATAACTGAACAATAACCAGAATAACTGAAATCATTTATTCTGGAATAGCCAAACTGAGAAGGATTGGGCCATTAAAGCCTAATATTAGAAGGCATTAAAATGACATGGTATGGTACTGCCTGGCTGAACTAGAGCGATGAAACAGAATCAACTTGATCAAGAAATAAATTGTTACAATATTTTCAGCTTCTTCTGTGATGGAACGGGAAGAAGTTTCTTTCAGGAATTAAGGCTCCCTGGGGCCTTAGTGATAGGGAATAGCTTTGCAAGGAAGAAAGAGCCAGAGACATGATGGTTAAAAATAAGCAGCGGATTAAGAGGAATCCAAAGGAAGGAACGATGAATGAGTTTGTGGAAAATGACAAGGATATAAACTATCAAGATGTTCTCTGCAAAAGAAATTTCATAGTGTTGAGGAGCTGTATATAATAAGGAATGTTGCATAGATAAATGGAGAGACAGTGAAGAGATGGGATAAAGTAAGAAGTGGGTTGGGAAGCAGAGTCCTGATTAAAAAATGGCCATTTTGGAAATAATAACCAAGGGGGGAAAGATGGGGGAGAAAGTGGTAAAACACAACACAATATTTAAGATTGTGTATTATCGGCAGGAAGGAAGTAGACAAGGGAACTTTGAAGGTTCAAGACTGTGGTTCCAAGGGATCCGCTGGCATTATGGATTCTGAGTGGATTAGATCTATACAAATTGCAAAGAAAGGGAAGTAGGTCAGTTATAGTTTCTTTTAACACCAGGGTATTATGGCTGAGTGAGGGAGCAAGCAGACTAAAAAGCGGTAAGAGAAGAAAGGCTACATTCACACAATAGTTTAAGTAGCTAGACAGTTCTTTGCTGCAAGCTTTTAGATAATTTAAAATTGCTAATTTGTTGTTGATGAGGTCAATCTATTTCTGTGCAGAACCATTTCCTCTGTTAAGAAATTCATGCAAAATCTAGATATATTTTGTCTTTGTCTTTGGTGCTTCTTCTGGAATCTGCCGCCTAAGTGGATTTCTCCTTAATTTTTGGCCCCCCCAAAAACCCCAAAACAGAACATATTTTGAATGGTTACTGCAAAAATGGAAATGGCCACTCAATTAAGCCTTCTCATTGAACAGCTGTCAAAGCTGAAGCATTGAAGAACATAGTTTCCTAGAGCAGAGATGGGCAATCATATGGTGGGCATATTGCAATTTTTGAGAGTATGAAGCAACAAAATACCTATCTTGTCAGTGCGGCAGTCACAAACCACAGATTTATCAATAAGCAAATTTATTTTGACATCACTCTCCGGCCCCTCCCCCAACGCTTGCTTCCACTCTGGATTCTTCTGAGCTGATGGGCACAAGTTCAGATAAAGCACTGTGCTGCAGGCACTGATTGCTGTTATTTTCTAAGAATGCTTATGGGGCCCTAAGTCTAATATTCACTTTCCAGTATGCCCATTTCCAACTGAACTCTGTTTTAATTAAAATACTATAAAAGGCAAAGATAAGGAATTTGGTGGGGGCCAGGGGAAAAGTCCTTGAGCACAGTAGTATTAATGGGAACCAGGTTATCCACCCCTTTTCTACAGGCTATGCAGAATAAGTAGTGTAATCTTAAGAAGAGTTACACAGATATAGTATCTGAACTGATTACACAATCTGCTATTTTGGGTGCTTCTAAACAAGGTTTTTATTTTGTAATTGCCCTGGCTCATTCATGAAATTTTAAGAGGAGGAATATATCTAGAAAATATTGTATTCCACTTGGAACCACTTGGTGTTTATTCACTATTTCTTTCATCTTTTTCTACCAGAAAAAAATTAAAAAGATTTTGGTAATACGAGGAGCTCTCTGTCTTGAAGCACACTTATTCCCACATAAAAACGTTTCTAGTTAAGTTTTTATTGCACATTCATTTTGCATCTTCACTTAAGTTTATGCGTCTGTCCAGAAATTAATGTCTTTGTTTCATATCCCTTCCACATATTTCCACCACTTCTTACAACTTTTGTTTTACCATAGAAATGTCATTAAAAAAGTGGAACAGTTTCATAATGTCTCTTGAGTGGTAGCTTTAGGAGAAATTGGTCTCAAGCTTTTCCATTCCAGTTCTACTATCCCTCTAGTGACCACAGGAATAAAAATAGATCAGCAGCCTTTACTTTCCATAGATTTAAGTGGATTCATCTGGTTGCAGTGCAACAGATACTTACTAGAGAGTATGCTTACTAGCATAATAGTACTTAGTAAAGCATAAATGTGCAGAGGACTGTAGAATTTTTCTGTTTGTGCCTGTGCTCCTTGTGACCAGGGTCACCAAGGATGTTTTGTGATTTTAAAGTATCTTTCTGTAGCGACACGGGCAAGCAATGAAGAACAGTTGTATCTTCATATACTAACCATAAAGGCAGGATTTGGTATAGGAATACACAAGTATAAAGGGACAGAAAAAAAAAAAAGATTCAAGTTTTTTCAGTTTTACAGTCAACCTGGTTAAAGATTCAAGTGCTTTCTAATTTTTTTCATTACTTGGACTTCAACTTTTGTACATCTGTTTGTTTTTGACAAATGTATTTAAAAAGAGATTCTCAAAAAGTAGGTATATATTTAACAAAGTATGGTTTATATCAGCTTCTCCCAAACTGGGGCTTCCTACCTGTACTAAAATACAATTTTCATATATACCTAGCTTCTGGAAATTATTGAAATTGTAATCCAACATATCTAGAGAGCATGGATGATTTAAATAATGCTCTGCAAGTTGAAATCTTGTGTGAAAAAACTTAAATTTAGTATCATACTTTGAATGAGAGGCCTAAGAAAATCTATCAAAACGCCTCTCTTCTTCATTCAGTACTTTCTCCTGAATGGTACCTTTCAGAATTGAGAATGTTTCTTGAAAAATAGAGCAAAGGAAACTCAAAGAAAACAGACTTTTTAAGTGTTGTTATTGTTGTTGCCCCATGTTAAACCTTCAGGTTTCTTTTTCAGTTTAAAGGGAGAGGGAGAGGGCTTTGCATAAAAATCAGTACTTTCCACTGTTACATTGTACTCATCATATCTGCAAGTTGTCATAGAAATCATCTCATGGTGAGGAAAACAAACAATGGAATTCAGAACATTGGTTATGACAAGATATCTCAGAAGCAGAACGGATGTGGATTCCACGGTGGGATTGCTTCCATCTAGAACAGCAGCCTCCATGTTTCAGGGCAGCATGTAAGCCACTCACCATCTGATACAGATTCTTGCCCAGGTGGCAATATTCTAATTGCTGTATGAAGAATGGGAGCTGGCCTAGGCTTGGCATTGTCTCTCTTTTTCTCTCTGACTGGCCAAAGAGGGGGGCTTCTGAGAAATAGCTGTACTACATGCCTGGGATTGCAAGGCAGTTCTTGTACAGTAGATGCCATCCCTAATCTTTCTGGGGATGGGCTACTTGGGATCCAGTGGTCCTCTCTCCTCTCAGTGCTTCGATCTTCTCAGTGATTGGATGAATGAACAAACAGGCTTAAAATATGCTTTGCCTCCTATTCTTTCCACGAGCTGCAGAAGTACAGAAGAAGAAAAGTTAGATGGTCTAAGAACCATGGACCAAAATTTGTGGTTTGGAAGATGAGATAAAAAAGGAGATTTCACCAAGATTCCTTTCTCTACTTTAGACATTTAGGAGGAATGGAAATATAAAGTTTCTCAAAGTATGTCAAACATAAAACCATCATACAAGTTTGCATTCCTATTTGTTAATTCAGCTACATTTTGAGACTTGATTATAAATGATTGCAGCTCAAACCTCAGAGTTCTGTGGAAATATTTTAAGAAGTGTCACTTTCAAGTGCAAAGAATACTACAAGAAATATACAAGACTTAGGCTGGATATGATTTAAAAAAAAACATGACTCATTTGTTTTGTCCCAAAAAGTATGTGGGGAGAAAGTTTGGCCCCTCTGGGTCTTTAGATATTGCCAAATTCTACCTTGCAGATTAATTTACCTTGTCATGGCAGCTGCGTCTGCCGCGAGTTACACCACAGCAACAGCTGGAGGGCCAGAAGTCCCACACCTCCACACGCATCACCTACTGGGATTTTTATATTCATTTACATGGGTTTTATGGGCTACCATGTGCTGCCACTGATCTCACCTGTGAATCATCAACTACCCAGGCTATATAACTAGCATGGTATATAGGTGGCAAACTAGCTGGCACACACCTTAACTTTATTTTTTAGAACAACAGTAATACTGAACAAAGATGGTTCAGTAACCATCTTTGAACAATATCTCATGAAATCTGATCCTCAGAACATATCTGGAGAGCCCGGTTGCTATGCACATCGCCAATCTATAACAGAACAATACAGAAGAGATTTCTGCAAAGCCTTCAGTCAAAGAGAAGCTGGTACCTACCAACGTGCTGGAAACTTGAGCCTCTGCAGCCAGGGTCCTTTTGAAGTTGAATTTCCTTCAAAGAAAAGATGGAGGCAGCTAGAGGAAAGAAGGAGAGGGAGACAGAAGTCATGGATTACATTTCTCAAAGGTCACTTGCCATTCTGATCCATTCCCTGTATGTTACCCAGAAGCCCCACTTGATTAAAGTGGATGAGCACCTACAGTAAGTACACCTGTAGAAGACTGACTGGATTAGCATCGCTGGTATCCACTGGATGTTGCTTATGTTACTAATGTTCTGGCAGCAACTTCTCTTCCCACATCTTCTGTTGTTTTGAAAAATTAAATTTCTCAGATTTTATTTTTTCCCACCCCTGCCCTTTTTCATATTTTATACATTTATTTTGTATGCTTGGGCTCTGAATTTCTGAGACTAAAATGCAGATGTGTTCAAAGTGACAGTGAAAAGTACAAAACACCTACAAACAATAAAATGCAGCTATCAACCATGCAGCACAGCAAGCCATATCTTAGTTCTTCTTAGGGAACTATGATACCTCTGGAACTTTACTGTGACTAAAGGCTTGCAGTAAACGATGCTTTGAGAGGATCTGGGAAAGGGCTTAATTTGTTCCACAACAATTGTCTTCATTCATACTTTGGAACTATTATTAAGTCATCTTATGTCCCATTGTATACTTACTCTCAGGAAGGAGGTGTACTCGTTCATCTAGGATCATAAAGTAGGGATGTCGTAGAGCTGATTCAGCAGAAATACGTTGTTTGGCTTCATACTTAGGGGGGAAAAAGACTTGAGTACACATTTGTACAGTAGTTTTACACATTGTTCCCAGATAATGATTCATTGTGTGGCTGCAGAGTTTTTAGACAATTGACTGATTTGAGGACATTACTCAGCTGAAGAAACACAAATGCTTGGCTGAATAGTATGACTGGGGATGCAAACTATACCAGAAAACATAAAACGCAACACTATTTTGCTACCTGTTATAACAATGCAGTTTTCCCAATCTCCTATGCAGTTTAGTGGAGGTGCTATACAAGTTGTGTTGTGTCATTTGTTTTAAGTCTGACCCCATGATCTCCAAATTCTTCTGTAAAATTGCATCCTGTCTGGTTTCTTCATGTTGTCCAGTCTGCAGTCATGCAAAACAACTGTACCTAAGAAAATCTATGTTTTTATTTTAGCTTTGGCTCAGCAAGGGGAAGTCAAGCAATTGCTGCAGAGCCAAACAACATCTCTTACAAAAGCCAGAACAGGACAAAAGAATCTTGGCAGCAGACAGACCAAAGCAACAAAAGAATCAACAAATCTGAGACTTGATAGCATCATAGATCAGACTGAGAATGGAGGAACATTTATGCCTGTTCACCATAATGATCAGACATTTTATGTTCCCTTGTAGGAATCCTTCTCTAAGTACTGGATTACCATTTAATTTCTACTATGGATATTTTGGTATTTCTGCAGCTGCTTGTCTTACTGGCCAATTACAGTGGCATCTTACTGTTTGAGCTGCTTGTCTTCTGGCCAATTACAGTGGAATTGCTGGTTTTGACTGGAGCTCCAAACTGTATTTCCCAGCTCACCAGCCCCACTGGAATAATTATGGAGAATAATCATCTCCAACATCTGTAAAACAGGGTCAGTTAACTAAGACCCAGAAGTGCTGTGGAGTGGCTTGATGGTCCAATTAGAATCATTCTGGGTCAACCTCATCCTACCCCATCCTCGCCACAGCACTTAGTTACAGCAATTCTTTTGATCTGAACTTGCCAGTCATGAAATTTTAATTATGCTAGATCTGCCTGCATGCTGGGGTAACACTACCATACTCACATGGCAGGGCTGCCAAAATGTGGAAAGGACAGCACTACCCATATTATTTTCAGCACCCATTTGACAGATCTTCAGCACTGAGAATCTTACTTTTTCACTTATAGAATAAAAACTGGCACCTAGAAGAATCCAGGGAAGCAGTAGAAATAATGCTTTGGGAAGGTTCCTTTGGATACATGGTCCCCCCTAGAATATCTCCCTGAGATTCTCAGGTAGGAAACCAAAGGTACTGAATTGGCACATCCCTTCAGCACATGGGTAGTAGTGGTGAAGTATCCGAGGGTTGAGCTGTGGCATTTCTGATACCTAGCTTAGCAGTCAAGGCCACCTACCAGGAGGAGACTTGTCAAAAGGTCAATTCCTTCTGTGTCTAGCCTGCAAGAGAAGAAAGGGGCCTGTTATATTTGGGAGACTCTTCAGGGAGCTGGCTCTTATTGCAGGACCAACACCTGAACATATGACTCCAGCTTGGATGAAAAGACCCAGATCAACTTCCCCAAAGTTGATGGCCCCACTAGGTGGTGATGGTCGAAACTGTAGTTCAATATGCCTGGAGGACGGCAGACTGGAGAAGCTAATTAGAAAATACTTACTTTAACTGTTGGCAATTTGAGTTCTTTCTTAGAGATGACACAGCACATTACAAATGCCTACACTTTACCTTTGCAGATTGAAATTCAAAGCGGTAATGCCATCTAGTGGCAGCCCCAGAAAAGAAGACAAGATTTTGTGCCCCTCCCCCACCTCAATCCCCTCTTATACAGGTAGTCCTTGACTTACAACTGTTTGTTCGGCAACCGTTTGGTTACGAACATGCTGAAGAAAGTGACTTATGGCTGGTGCTCAAGTGCCTGTTATGGCTGTTATGGCTGTTGCAGTGCCCCTGCAGTCACATGATCAAAATTTAGGCACTTGGCAGCCTGCCTGCACTTATGACCACAGGGGCGCATCAACTCCCTCCACCCACCTATCTCCCCCACATCTATGGCCTTTTGCTCCTCTGCCACTCTGCGCTCTGCCACCCCAGCTGACCTTTGTTGTCTTCTTGCTCCCGCTACTGACGAGACGTGCCCTTCCTGGCTGCTGGGCTGGGCTTCGGCTGTGGGGGAGAAAAAAAAGCAGCCCCTGAGCTGCAGTGCACCAAAATGCCCCTTTGGCCATGCTACTGGGTGGGGCTGGGCTGGGCTTTTGGCTTTTTTTTTTCACAGTGCAAAGCAGAAGTCCAATTCAGTCCCACCCAGGAGCATGGTGCAAAGGGGTGTTTCGGTGCACTGCGGTTCAGGGATGGCTTTTGGCTCCCCCCCACCTCCACAGCTGAAGCCCAGCTCAACTCACCCAGCAGCCAGGCTGGGCACACCTCGTCAGCAGTGGGAGCAAGAAGACAGCGAAGGCCAGCTAGGGCAGCGTAGTGCAGGGCGGCAGGGGGCTCGAAGTGCAGGGTGGCGAGGGTGACTGCTGCTGGGACTGGGCTGGGACAGCTGTGGCTTCCTGGGGCATGGCAAGCAGCCCCAGAGCCATGTGATTCTGGGGCTGCTTTCTACCCCACAACGCAGGGTGCAGGGTGGCTAGAAGGGAAGAGATGGGGGGATATAGGTGGATGGGGGGAGTTGGAGGCAGTCCTTTACCTTACTGAGGCTCGGGGCTGGGAGGGACCAAGTCTGGAATGGCTTAGATTGGGGTGGATGCTCACTTAATGACCTGCGATTCTCGGTTAACAATGGCAACCAGGACTGCCGGGATTGCGGTCACTAAGTGATGTGTTCACATGACATCTTGCTTTATGACTGCATCGCTTAGTGATGGAAGTCCCAGTTCCAATTGTAGTCGTAAGTCAAGGACTACCTGTAACACAGAGGATAAGAACGATGCATCTTGCATTGGGACAGAGAAAAATCCTCTGTGTTCACTGATGGCAGTGCAGATAGTCAGACAACTTTTCCAAGAGTTCCTTAAATTATCATTTGTTCCCTATGTCTCTTTCTCTAGTTATTTATCGCAGGACTGCTGATATGTTGCCCCTTGCCGTTCTTCCAAACAGCAGCTATGATCCATAATAAATTGGTCTGTCCTTGACACTGCCTCTACCTGGGTGCATGATTTATCAAGGGTTGGGCTCGATACTGTGTGAAATTGTAAGCTTTGAACTCCTCATTGGATGTGATGCCAGGCCAAGATTCTTCTGTAGGAGTTCCTGTAGGAAAGAAGGATTGGATGCATTAGGGAAGGATGAACACTTTTACTAGATCCACATGCAGCATGGCATGAGGTGGAATCTAGTATCTGTCATGTTAGAGCCCTGAAAATCTCAAACAATGAAACCAAGATTAAGAAACTCAAACTCACTAGTATATTTCTATTCCTTTGCACTGTAGAGAAATATTAAAAATGCATTCTCTGGAGAGTAGATTAAGCAATATAGAAATCAAGGGAAGCATCAGACTGACATATGAGATAAAGATGTTCTAGGCTAGCATCTTGATATTAGCAATGGTTATGGGTTTACCAATTCTATCAACCTCAGATCCTTTTGGTAAGAAATACCACAGATGAGTCTGGTAAATTGTGCTCCCCAAAAATTTATCTATCATTCTCCTATGGCACCTGCTTTCTTTGGGAATGGAAATGAAACTCCTTCCTTGTAATTCTCTGCAGTCCTGTGTTTGCTTATTCCAAATATCTGTATTTTGCCATGCAGTTTTTATCTCTATTTTATTTCTCTGGCAACAATTGCTCATAAAATAATATTCATGATTTTTTGAGAACACAAAGCATGGATATGAAGTTAATTACACAAGTGTGCCTATTTAGTAAAATAAAATCTGAAGGCATCATTTGGGTTGTCTTACTATAACAGAATTTCTTGGGCAGGGCTCCATATGCTCTATACTTTTCCCATTAAATTGCATATAGTCATTTAAGAATGAAATTTATTGTATTATCTTCCATTAGCCCTCCCTCCTCTCCAATCTATATATAGAAACAGAATGAGGAAGACTCACCCAACATTCTGAATATTAAATTAAGTTCTTCTTTCACAGTGGATCCTGGGAACATTGGACGTCCTGTGACCATTTCATAGTGTATGCAACCCACACCCCTAAAAGGAGAAGTGTTCATGAAGCAGAATTGACCAGTATGCCATCTCCTATCTTGCCTTGTCTACCTCTCATTAATTCAATCTCTGAAGAGAATGCTGAGTCCAGAATGACTCCAGAAGATCATGCAGGAGATAGGAGTGGTTCTTATTTTTTCCTATTGAATTGATAATGAGACAAGAGAGGTTTCAAGGAACATGAAAGAATGAGCCATGAAAATCTCTCTAATTACTTCCATCCTCTACAGCATCCTTCCCCGACCTGAGACTTTGGTCCTGCTAAGTGGCTGTCTGCAAAATGCACTCCCATCTTATTCAGACGATGGTCTATGAACACTGGCAGACAAAAAGACTATGCCATCAGCATGCCATGGAGTCTGGAAAAAGTGTGTATTGAGGGCAACCAAACCACTATTTTCTAATTTTAAAAAGAACCACAGGAAGAAGAATCATTTTACACATCTTCACCCATGCACAGACACTAGGCCTACCACATGTCAATGGGAGTGGAATATTCTGTAGATCCTAGTAGGACATCAGGAGGTCGGTACCATAATGTGACCACTTCATTGGAATATGTTTTTGTTGGGACAGACTTGGCTCTGGCTAGACCTAAGGATGAAACATATGCCAGTGAGATTCAGTTGCAGCTACTAATTAAGATTTATATTAAATTCATACTTATATTTGTTTTACAAAAACTCATATATTTTACAAAAAGAAGTCCTATGTAACTCAGTGCTTAGAATGGTGGTACATGTCACAGTTATGCATGCGCTACCTGGTTTGATTGTTCCACTTAGAGAACTAAGTTCATTAAGTTCAATGGAGCTTGTTCTCAGTAACAGAAGCAACTTAAAGATGCTTCTGAAAAAGTTTCTTACAATCTAATAACTTGTATAAGAGACCAAGTTATTTGTAAATAACATGCAGGAAAATATAAAAGAGAAAAAAGTTGCTTGAGATGTGTGACCCTAAAATTAAAAGCATCTATCAAAACATGTTCTGAAGGTCAGCAGAGTACAATAGAGGTTAATTTTTTTCCAGTAACCTTGAAGATTCCATGGGAAGCCTGCTAGGTGGTTGTACGATATTGTTATTTTCTCTGATCTTGGATTTTTCATGTTTTTATTTTGATTTATGTCCAGTGTTTTAAGATTGGCTATGTTGTTTTAATTGTTGCTGTGTTTGTATGCCGCCCAGAGTCACACTATGTGAGATGGGCAGCCATACACATTTGCTAAATAAGTAAATAAATAAATTCCATCACTCTGAAAGCAAGGGAGAACCTAAGCAAGAATATGGTTTCATTCACTAACTTACCAAAGTCAGCAAGTTTCAGCTCTCCTTTCCCATTAATGAGCAGATTCTGTGGCTTGAGATCTCTGTGTAGGATCTTATGCTGGTGGCAGTAGGATAAACCACGAAGCAGCTGGAACATGAAAATCTTGAAGCAGAAGATCAGAGAAGAAATAATTGGTACATTCACAGATTGTTTTTAGGAAATACAGATTCCTGAACCTGATGCCTTCCAGATATGCTAATTCCCAAATGGGAATTACAGTATGTAAACAGTAATCCAATATATTCGCAGGACACCAAATGGAGAAGGAATGCACAATTCTCTCACATGTTTATTTTACAAGAGAGGAAGCCTCTGTAAAGGCCATTCTTTATATCCATCTACCTGTCCACTCACCTTCACGTTGTACGTGCTCATCAGATTCCCACAGTTATCCAGGTACTGTTTCAAGTCACTGTCCTGAAAAGATAAGCATGTCCTGAGGGTGTAACTTGCTATGAGAAATGAGACACTCACAATTTCTTCAGCATCAGAAAATGCAAATCAAATTATATTTCCCAAGACTTCAGAAGCACAGGATGTGTTTGCAACAAGCTATTTCCTCCAGCAAAATATAGATTATAGTAAGATTATACAACTCTGAACTATGCAAGGTTTTCAGAGGTTTGTTGCATCATGTTTAATGAATATGCAGTTACAACTAACTGTTATGGGAGATAAAAAGTAATTCTTCTTCCAGCAAACGTACCCAATCCAGAGGCCATCTAAATGTTTGTTTCTTGATAAACACATCTGTTCCAGAGAATTCAAGTTTTCCCAACTCTAAACCAGATTTTGCTACTGCTAAGAAAATGCTATTTTCTTTCTCTCTCTTATACACACATCATTTCCATTACTATTTAAGGCCACTCTGTTCACCTTTTCTGGAAGGCTTAGCAAATGCAATAGGACTGAGTACATATGATGACTGAGTAAACAGGATTGCTATCTGTGCTACCTGGAGCACAGTTAAACAATGGCTGTGGACAATAAGTGAAGCATTTTCCAGTGGACATTTTCTACAAGGATACTGTTGATCAGCTAAGAGTAAAAACAAAACAAAACAAGCCTCAGAGCTGCTCAGAACCTTACTAATATACTCCAGGCAAGCCTGATGTTCCTGAGCCAGCTACTCTTTCCCTAAGAAAGAGATCCATAGACTTACCAGATATTCAAAGACAAGTGTGAGGGAGCATTTTGTGTGAATGATATCATGCAGAGTCACAATGTTGGCATGCTTTAGATTCTTCAGTAAGGAAACTGTAAGACAAAAGGATAACAATATCAATCATGCATCATCTGAAAGTGACAGAGCTGTGAGCTGGAATCACAGGCTCATCCCCACCCTTCCAGATTGATTGGACTACCTTTATGTAATTCCCAGGACACTTGAGTATGAATTATGGGAGGTGTAATCTAAGGCATCTGGAAGAAACCATGTTAGGGAAAACTGATCACCTATGCACCCTTACGAATATATCTAGAAAAATACATGCTATATGTTGCTGGTAGGTGGCTGGAAACCCAAAACCTGCTGTTTACCTTCCCGTATAGCTGTGCAGGGAGCCCCTTCTTCATGTTCCAACCTGATCTCCTTCAGCGCAACAAGATTCTTGGTGAGTTTGCTGCGTCCTTTAAAAACAGTAGCATAAGTGCCCTGTGAAGAAAGGGGCAACAAAAGTTAAGTAGCACAAAACGCAATCTATTTCACATCTTTCTCTCTAATTCTGGGCTCCCTGAACTGGATTAAATCACTCCTGAATCTTTTTTAATTTGGATTTAAAAATTCTCCACTGTCGCCATCTGCCAAACAAATTCCACAGAAAGGCTTGAACTAATATATTATTATTAGATTTTTATCCCATCTTTTAAAAAATATTTAGTCAAATCAAGGCAATGAACATACCTAATACTCCTGCCTCCTCCTGTTTTCCCCACAACAACAACCCTGTGAGGTGGGTTGGGCTGAGAGAGGGACTGGCCCAAAGTCCCCCAGCCGCCTTTCATGCCTAAGGAAGGCCTAGAACTCAGTCTCCTGATTTCTAGGCCAGCCCCTTTACTACACCAATTTTGCCATTTTTTCTTCCTAGTCCATTCTAATACAGAAAGTGCATTTGATTTAGGTAGCACGCTGGGAATGGCCATGATAGATGGCAGAGGTCAATACCTTCATGTCTATCTGGTGATGAACATGGCATGTGAGCTGCAACTTGGAATGTAAGAGGAATAAATGGTAATGAAGAGGATGTATTGTAATGTAAGAGGAATTAATGAATTAACTAATGAAATAAAAAGAAAAATATGTTATATGAAACTAAATAAAAGGACAAGGATATAATAAACTCTACCGAAGGTGGTCTGGCTATACTCTAAGGCACTCAACAGTAACTATTTTTTTTTATGCAGATAAATCCTATGGTCATGTTTAAATTCAGTTCAGAAATAGAGAGGTTTTAAACATTTAAACTCCTAAATGTTAAATGACTATTTCCCAAAGCAGATTGCAAAAGGTAAAAATGATCACAAAGATACAGTAGGAACTTACAAAGGATGAAGGATGGGATTGATAATATTTCAGATTATTCTTACCTCCCCCAGCTTTTCCAGTTTAACATAGGTTTCCATCTTCCCAAACCCAATGTCTGACTATCATAAAAAAGGAAGAAATATCAGTACAAAATACAATATTAAGAAACTCACAACACAGGCCAACACATGTCTATTAAGAAGTCTACTTCACTGAGTTTTACTTCTAGGAGACATAAGCTTACCAATGGTTACATTCTGTAAAAAACATATTGCTTCAAACAAATTCTCTGGGAAATAAAATGAAGACAGGTCCTTGAACTTGCAGCTCAACATACTGCATCAGTTACTTCCTGAAAGTGCACAATCAACAGCCAGTTGCTGGGAAGCACCAGCCATTTTGTCTTTCAAGAACCTGGAGAACTCTTGCTTCTTCCCATTGCAGACTTAAAGCACGTCCACTCACATCACTGTCTTGCTTGGGTGTTTTGCAGCAAGCAATATTTCTAATACCTACTCCTCAAATGGCCTGTTACTTTGCGCAGCCCATACATTAATTAAAAGTGAGGGTTGCCTGGGTGGTTCTCTCCTTTGCTTATGCAATATAAAGATATTGATCCAGGGGTCAAGGTAACCAGATTAATTCTCCAGCTTTTCCCCTAACACCTTGTGTGACATCAGAAGTCATAGTCAGACGGCTTTGGCTTCTCATAGATTCTATTCCCATAGAATATCACAATGCTTGAAAAACTAACATTATCTATTTAGGTTGAATTTTACTCAGCAAATATGGTAACTGGTTTCCAAAAAATATATATAGTAGTAATGAAGATGAAAGATTCATAGGATTAATCATTCTAGGGTGCTAAGAGGTTTTCTATGGAAGTATGAAATATGTTTGGCTCATGTGTCCCATTTTAAACATACTTACTATTCAACAGCAGGTGGTGGTAAAGACACATATTTTTAAACAACAACAACAAGGTTTTTAGAAATATTTCATTCTCAGTTCAATAAAGAAGTGTTATTAGCTAGATTAGAAGTGGAACAATAACAGGACATGACTGTTCATCTCTTGGTGAAACTGATACTCTAGTACAGGCAGTTCTCATTTAGTGACCAAAATTGGGACTGGCAATTCAGTTGTTAAGCAAAGTGGTTGCTAAGTGAAACTGTGACTGTGCTTACAATTTCCCCTCAGCTTTCCTTTGCTTTACAGACCTGCGAAGGTCGTAAATGCAAGGAGTGGTCACAAAGTTATTTTTTCATAGTAACTGTGAAAAGTCGCTAAATGAGCCAGTTGCTAATTGAGGACTAACTATATCAGAAAGGAAAAATATTAAAATCATTATGCTACTTTACAGTGAAAACATTTAAATGATTTCTTTAAGCTGAATTTGTAAGAATTGAGAGAAACTCTAAGCAAGCTTCTAGCCAATGATCATGTACCATCTGATCACATTACAACCTAAACACAAAAACTGTGGACAGAAGGAACAGTCAGTAACTTGGGTTCTCCCATAGCAGGTTTTGCTAAAGAAACAGAATGGCCAATATCCACATCAGGGATTCCATATTTGGGCTACAAAAGCAGCAAAGTTTTAGAATTTCATGTATATATTTCCTGTCATCTAGTAGTCATTTGGATGTTTGTAGTTCAGGCATGGTATGCCTAAGTTTATCTGAAATATATCATAATAATGTGCTTATACCACAGCTTATTCCACTGGAAATTCAAGGTTGATTGCATACAAACTCCAAAAATGTTATCATAGGTTAGTACTGTATAAAACACGACTTATTTGAAATTATTTTTTTCCAATTTAGTAAAAATTCTAAATAAAGGAAGTTTGATGTGATTAGATGTCCAACAAATGTAGCAGCACATTTATAAATTTACAAAAAACATGCATTGCTAATTTAGTGGCTTATTGATATTTATCAGTTACTATTCAGATGGAATTGCACAGATAAACAGGAACTCCTTGGATATGTTTCATTTTTTCCATTTTAGAATTCCAATTTCTAATCCTTGCTCTTATAGAAAAAACAAATTACTTTCTGAACTTGGCTGCAACACAGATAAATAGAACACTCATACTACAAACACTTCCAGTGTTGTTTCAATACTAATGTTTAAATCATTCATCTGGGAGACATTCACACAAATATATGAGAACAGACACATGCTAAATTGCATGGAACTGTATTTTTCCATGAGTCTTGGGACTCACAAGAGATGCCCGTCGTGACATCCTGCTCAGAGGCTTAGAAATCTCTGGATTTTCCATTTCTAGCTTCTGGAGGAATTCTGGGGGCAGGTGAATATCCATAGGCAGAGAGAGACGCTTGCTCACATCCTGGGAAGAAAATAACACATCACAGATGACAAGATCCTCCAAATTGGATAGCAGATCCAATTGTGAAACAATACAGTACAGCTTTAATAATTGCCAGGTTACATCCATTGTTACCCATTGTGGGAGTTCTTCTAGACATAAAAATATATAATCCTGTTACATAATAAAATACATTTTAAAAGAAAACTAGATAGGCCATTGATATATGAAGCCAGCTCCCTTCTGTGTCAGACCTTCCAATTGTACCTTGCTATGTTTAAAAGGGGCCCATCTCCCAGAACTCCATCAGCATCATTTCTGCCATTGGGCAAAATGTGTCTACCAGTTTGCAGGTTACCTCCATAGAAAAGCGGCGCTGGTTGCCATTTCGGTAACGCACAGGAGTTGGGGACCGACCTTCCAAAGGTGAGGCAGACCTGGGCTGCATTCGGATGTCCCTATTCAGGTGACCCAGATGTAAATGTCCTTGTGCCATATCTGGTCAGAAAGGAAGAATAAATAGCAAATCACCAGGTGACCGTAGAGACCGGCAACGCCTGGGACAATTTGGGGGCTGAGATAAACACAAAGTAACACAGAACAACTTAAAATATTTAAATCAGTAGGTGAAGCATATGTCATAAAGAAGGCTGGCAGTCTATTTTTGATTCAATGTGGACAGGAAAAGCTGAAAATTATTTTAACTTTTAGAATACATTTTATCCTGTAAGTCAACTCAAAATTTGAATGTTACTTGTTAAATGTTAGCTTGCATCCTGACATTCCAGTTCATCGTTACAAAGTCATCTGCATTAGTACTTAGATTTTTCTTAATATCGAAGTGCTACTCATAAGTGGAAAATGACTCTCTGTTTGCAGACAATCCTACTTGTTATCCAAATGTTATCATGGCAAATATTTCTACTTCCATGAAATAAAACCAGTATTATAACCACTAATTAATCCATTCTTTTGGGTATGAATTGGACTGAGAACTATAGGTAACTTTCATTTCTCATTTTGTATAGCTTGTAGCAATATATATTTTTTCTTTACTCAGAGCAGATGACTGTAAACATGTGGCTTTTGTACAAAAACAAACAACCCGCCCTCCCAGCTTTGTGTAAAAGCCCTTAAAGGCCAACTAGCATTAAACATTCTCCAAAAATGTTCCATATTTTCAGACTTCTAATTTATCTCAATCTGATGCTAGCATACGTGCATGTGCACACACACTATTAGCATATTAAACTATCATTTTGGAAGCACAGATCCTTCTTCCTGACTGCAATACTTCAGTGCTTTATCACCACGGTTGATGGAATTCCACAGATTAACACTGTGTTCCACTCTGTGCGATGCTATAATGTTGGCATCTATCATGAGCTAAATTTATTTCCTCAGGTTCTGACTACTGCATGCCAGAGTATGCACTTTTCAGATTCTCTTAGTAGTTTGTGTACCATATGCTATATACTAAATACCATCAGTTTTTCAGGTAGTTTGTAAATGTTTTAACTGTTGGGGTTATGCTCAAGGAAAAGGACATTAATATCCCCTATCCTAGTAATTAGGGTGAGTTGGACAATCAGGTACCAGAGATCCCACATGGAACACAATAAAATTGTCTAAACAGGGACCATGATGTAGAGGGCAGACATGGATCATACCACACTGAATCCCAGCCTTTTCCCTAGAAGACAGAAACAGCCACCTGTGAATTAATTTAGTACTCTCCAGGCTACTGAGACGCCCATGCCATTCCAAACTCCTCAATTCTAGCTGAGGACCAGAGCCAAAGAGGGTCACTGTCATATAAACAGGGTATAGAGGATTAAACTAAACATTAGTTGTGCATGCTTCAATGACCTGTCATTAGGGTAGCTCCGCTTTTTCAGACTTCCGCTGCTACTTCAAGAGTCACACAGACTTGAATGAGTAGATTCCTTATATTTGTGAGAGGTTCAAAGCATTTTTTTTCCCAAATAGCTTTTCAAGTGTGTTCACCTGAAAAGAGTGAACACTCTTTCACAAGTGTTCACTCTTCACTTGTTAACTGGTAGTGTTATTGAGAAAAGGTGACCCTCTCTAAGAAATATAAGTGATCTCTTGAGAAAGTAGTTCTGAAGTGTTGTTGAGCCATAAATGGAAAATGAAATCTGAAAGAAAGGTGCCTTCCATGTGTAACTACTTCTCCATGGTCCACAGTTTGATGGCTGTTGTTTAAGAGTTCTGGAGAAGGGAGACCCAGACAGAAGTTCAGCAAAACACTTCACATTTTCACTGAAGGGATCCATTACATAAAATTCTCAGAATTTGCAGAGGCATTTCTATGAAAAGCATGCAAACAAAAGAACTGTTTCATAATTATAACTCACCTAACAGAGCGGTACCACCTGCTTATTCCATAGCCCTTCTACAAGGTAATATTGGACCTTTCACAAAGGACAGAAAAGATGGATGCAGGTACACCAAAGCTAAAACACAGTTCAGACGCAGGATCTACTAAAGCATCTCTGTCAGATGACTATCCAGCCTCTGAAGAACTTAGGATGCTCTTCCTGATTTCTAGCCTGAATCTACTTCCTTACAGTTTTAAACCATTGGTTTCGGTCCTGCCCTCTTGCACAATAAATAATACAGCCACTCCCTCCAGATATCTGAAGACTGCAATCACATCTCCCCTCAGCCATCTCTTTTTAAAATTAAACGTACCCAGATCCTTTAACTTTTCCTCCTATAGTTTGGTTTCCAGATCTCTCATCATTGTGGTAATGTTTTATGTACGCTCTTTGCACAGATATATAATGCTATTAATGCAGGAAAAACAAATAGGAAACAACCCCCCCCCCAATTTTGTAGATAATTTTAAAGAAAGATTTTAAACACATGTTAACATTTTAATGATGTAAGCTGCAGTTGGGTGGCCATTGAATGAATGAATGAATGAATGAATGAATGAATGAATGAATGAATGAATGAACGAATGAATGAACAAATGCCAACCTAGCAGACAAATAGGTCTTTGGTCTAATCCAGCACAGTGCTTCTTATGTTTTATGCTTTGTGTGAAACATTTTTACTTAATCCAGTATGTAGTTTGATTGTGTAAACCTACCATAATAACTTTAGTGGAGGTGAAAAAGTATTTTAGTACAAATGTAAACATTGATTAAAATAACAGGCAACTGTTGATGTGGTACCAGTTTGAAAAATAGCAGTAGAGCGAGCTGAACTAAAGAAGTGTGGTAGAAGAGCTCAGCTGAATAAAATATAAATACATATCTCTAACCCTTGTTTCTTCACAAAGATGGAAGAATAGCAAGGTGGCTCACATTTGCAATGGTTGCAGCATCCTGTGGTCATGTGATCACCATTTGCAACCTTCCCTGCCAGCTTCCCTCAAGCAAAGTCAGCCGGGATCTCAGGGATCTCGTACTTGGTAGCATGCACTTGCACTGCAGCATCCCCTCCCCAGCCTGCATGCACTCGTGCAGCATCTCCCTACCTCACTCCATAGTACTCACCCGCCCTTTGGCCTGCTTGCGAGCTGCCCGGGACTTGCAATTTCCAGCCGGCTTCCCCATTGACTTTGCTTGTGGGAAGCCAGCAGGAAGTGGCAAGTTGCAGTCACATGAAGTCCTTGCTTAATGACCTGCGCTTTTCGCTTAACAGTGGCAATGTTCTATTAGATGAATGTTTGGCTCAACTGAACAGGAAAGTCTTTTTCAAGAGCCCAGCTGAAATGAATCCTTGTGGGCAAATTCTATTTATTTCATGATATGAGACAGGCTCCTAATGCACCATGCCAATAGTTCCTAGGAAAAGAGGAGATTTTCCTGGAATAGAGGTTTGTGTTGAAATATTCCAAAGATTTGTCATCAATAACACACATGTCAAAAATATGTACCACTCTTACCAGTCTTCCAAACTGCAGTATTTCTAGGTGCTTCCTTGGGACCCTGGCCCTTAAATTCTAAGCCATTTCTATTCCAGAAATATCAAAGCATCGGTACATTATCATTTAAACACACTGGTAGATGCTTTTTAGAATTTTGCAACAGAAATATTTTCCAGTCCTACCTGGAGATACTGAGGACTAAACATTGTTTTTTATCTGCCTCTTTATGCATGTGTTTGAAGTGGGTGCTTATTGTGCAATTCTCTGACTCATTCAAGGAATTGGGGGATAAGGTCCAGAAATTATCTTCCTTGTTCTCCCTTCACTTCTTCTACTGAGAGAGATGGAGGAAAAGAGGAAATAGCTGCACATAATGTGGATTATGGCACTAGAAGCCATTCTGAGTATTCACTGTAGGTTGGCCTATCAAGTTCTCTTAACTACAAATGACCACAGTGTGGTTTTAACATGAACTTAAGAGTTGGCTTCCAAGTTCTTCTTGGAATATTCTTGTTTAGCTATAGTTTTTAATGTGATGAATACAGCCAACCATACTTCTACATTTTTTCTCTACTTAATGGTTCTGTTTGATTTTCCATTGCTGCATTGTTTTAGTAAGGCAACAGTGCTGTCACATCCACCTGCCTCTGAAAATTTTATGAAAGGGCAGACATAATGAAGTCTCCAGTTACACTGATTTCTTTAAAGGATGTCAACTTATAAAAGTTACTTAGGATGGGCAGCAGAGCAATGCTGTTTATGTACTGACAGTACAATATTAGTTCAATAGGTGCATCATAAAAATCAATAGATTAAAGGAGTCCAAGGGGGAGAACTGCTGGATCAGAAAAACACATTTGATCACAGTCCCAAGCAAAATTTCTCTCCCTCCCCCCCCCCAATTCTTACAGCTGCATCTCTTCTGCCTGCTTATCACAGGAAATGTAATGCATAGCATGAAAAGGCCAAATATCAGCAGGTGGACTTCTGAGCAAACTAAAATGCAATGTTTAATTTGCCTAAAGCATGCCCCCCTCCTAGGGCTTGGCTTGCTGCTTACAATTTCACCAGCTGAGAATTACCTCCCATGGCAAGCATGACTTTCAATCTACTTGGACAGTTGTCCAATTTCTGATGAATCTGCATGTACCGCACAGCTTAAAACAATAGTCTGCCTTGGTTTTAGTCTCAGGACTAAAAAGCTGCAGGCCAACTTAAAAGTACCTATAGTTCCCAAATATTGGCTTTCCCCCAGTCCATTTGGGGGAACCAAAACCACTCCCAAAATGTTCAATGTAAGGATCTTCCAAATGTATAATCTGCACTTAGAATGGCAAATTTGGGAGGCCACTTCAGCCATAGTCTAAACTGATAAGTTTCAAGATTCCATGGATGCATGGGGGTGGGGGTGGGGCAATTAGGCAGGGTAGTGAACAGATTCACAACCAGCTTTGGATGTGTGGCACAGAGTTGCACAGTTTTTCTACTAGTCTCCAAAAACAAAACAAAACAAAACAAAACAAAACCCCCCGTTGATCTAGATTCCCTGAATACAGTATATGTCTCACGAACATATTGTAGCAGATACAGAACAGAATCTGAGTTCATATATATGCTAAAAGCCTATAAGGCAACTGAACAGAAAGATTCCACATCAAACATCAGAATGCAGGTGTCAAAATTAAAAAAAAAATCAAATTAAGAAATTATTAGGTGAGAGAAAGCAATATGAAAATAAAACAGCAAGTAGCATGTTCACTTATATACAATGTAGATTTCTGATGAAGGTAATACAGGTAGTCCTCACTTAATGACCACAATTGGGACTGGCAACTCTGATGCTAAGCAATGCGATCATTAAGCATAACATCATGTGACAGCATCGGACTTATGACATCAGTTCCACTGTCATCATTAAACAAATAATCACAGGTTGTTAAGCGAATTTCACTGCCGGCTTCTCCATTGACTCTACTTGTCAGAAGCTGGCAGTTAAGCTTGCAAATGGCGATCACATGACAACAGGACGCTGCAACCAACATAAATGTGTGCTGGTTGCAAAGTGCCCAAATGGTGATCATGTGACTGCAGGGATGCTGCAATGGCCACAAGTTTGAGGAGCGGTCATAAACCTATTTTTTCAGTGCCATTGTAACTTTGAACGATCACCGAATGAGGCAGTTGGCGACGACTACCTGTATGGACAAGAAAGGAGGGAGGAGAGAATAAGAGATACAACATTATCCTGTGATGACAGCAGGTTGTGCTAAAAGGCCTAGATGGAGTAGGAAGCCTAGGAGGCGTCTCCATCCTAACCGCTTTGGCCAAAGGATTAACTGGACTTGAAGGCAGCCTCTGGGAGAACATTGCAGAGACCTGTTCAGTTCTGTTTCACTTTTTACGTGAATCACAGACAGCCCTGCCACTCAGCATATAATGAGGGTGCATAAGGTATCAAAGTAAATTAAAAGGGAAATCACAGACATCCCTCTGCCTTTGATGAGCCTCCCTCTTTTATCAATATATTTAAACACGGCCTCTGTCAAATCAAGATTTGATCTCCTGGGGAACTAGGCCAGAATCTCTTTGCTTTGCTTGAATCACAAGTCTTAATTACTTAGTTAAAGCATTAACATTTCTGTTCAGTTCTAAAGACCATGCTCCACAAAAATCTCCCTTAAATATGGCCTATTCAATTTTATACCCTTTATTGCTTGTACTCCAATAACTCTATCAATGAAAAAACTTGAACTCACAAAAATATTTTCCTTTATGGCTCTTCTATAGAGAAGAGAGAGGGGGGACAATCTCCACTGTATAAACAGAAAGCGAGGCCTAAAGAATCTTCACAACTTGTCCAAGTTCATTCTGAGATTTTATAGAGAAGAAGAGAATGATATCTACATATCTACTGCTGTTACAACTCTGAAGCTGTGCTTTATGGATCTCAAAGTTCTCTAACTGAATGTGAATCACAGGGAGCCAGATGACACATGTAGCTTTTCCATATGGGATTAAGAAGAGCAGAAGGTCCATTCAAAGGAAGAATTGAAGGTGTCTCTTTCATAAACTGTTGGCGATTCTGAGAAACACATCTCCAGCTTTACACCACCAGGTTGTGCCAAATCCAAGGTGACACTACCTGGAACTCCTTGTGCCCAGTCAGAAAATTATTTGATTTTCTTTTTGTATGTTCTAGGCCTTTCCTGTGCACATTACCTTGCTCAAATAAGATTATCTGAAAAAGCAGAACAAAGCAAAGCAAAGCAAGGTTTAGATCTGATATGATTTCCAGACTGATAACATTGGTTAAAGTCTAGGTTTGAGTAAGAGTGGTTAACTGAAGAGAGGCATCCGGTCCTTACTTTTTGACAGCAATCAATTCATATATGGGAAAAAGAAACCAGGTATATGTAACTGTTTAACTGTTCTAAAGATGTACATCCTGTTCTTCAATACAACCCAAGGGAATCTTACAAAAAATTAAAATTAGAATAAAAGCAATATAAAATTAAAAACAACATATGCAATTAGTGGCTGTCAGAGAAATAATTTTGTACTATATTTCTTGCATAGAATCCAAAGCAATTCCACTGTAACAGTGCATTATTGTAGTAGCTTAGTAATACTTATTTTTTCTCCAAAATACTTTATTTTTTTAGTTTATTAATAGGTGCAGCTAGCATTAGGGTGAGTAATGGAGGGGTAATATTTAATGTGGTTTTTCTTGGTTGGAGATGACTCCTGAGGATACCAGAAGAATACAGCCAAGAAAACAAACAAATGAATAATCAAACAATAAATCCAGAATTCTCACTTAAGACACAAATGACGAGGCTAAAATGATCATACTTTGGACACACTATGTAAAGACTTAGTTCTCTGGAGAAGTCTATAGTGCTGGGAAAGGTAGAAGGAAAGAGAAGAAGAGGACAATGAGCAGCAAGGTGGATGGACTCAATCATAGTGGCAATGGGTACACCACTGGAAGACCTGAAGGATCATGTTGGAGACAGATCCTCTTGGAGAAAATCTATCTATGTAGACACTAAGAGTTGACACCGAGTTGATGGCACATAATCAATCAACTAACCAACCAATCAATCAATTTTAACAAATGTTCAACCAATCACTTAATGGGAAGATTAGGTTTCACTGGAAGAACATATTTAAGGGTTTATAAAACTGAAATGTCTAAATATAACCAAGTATGTATATTCAGTTAATAAATATTTAACATGAAACTTGAAAAAGGTACAAGATTGTCCTCTCAACAATCATATGTATTATGAATAAATCACAAAACATGTCATATTAGATCTTGACTGTGGTTTGCCTTTTCCAGTATTTAATAGACACTGAATAGCTTTGAACAATGTGTTTCTTCTACTCACACATTCAAATATAGCTCATAAATTTATACAAATAAATTTATATAAACACAATCGAAGGGAACTATTGTAGAATCTGAGCTATGCTTTGAACTTTTTCTTACATTTCAGGTACTTCCCAAGCACATAGATTGGAGGCTCAATGTCTCTTCTGATATGATAGGATCATGTACTCTACTACTCGAAGTGGACAGATTATTCCATAATCCACATCTGAGTAATATTTTTATTATTAACAAGTAAAATATCACAAAACAGCAAGCAAAGTTCTTCAGAATTTTTCATCAGGTTGAATGTTAATAAGCATCATTAATATTTATTACTCATATAGTCTGGTTTACTGTGGCAACTGAACCAGACCAGTTTGAACGGCTTCTATGTGGATTTGAGAAGCCATAAAAGGCAGGTTTCTCAACTATGTGTTGTTCTACATGTGGAAATGCTCTACATCTGTTTTAATAACACATGTAGGTCAGAATGGAACATGTTGTAATGATAGTTAGAATGAACCCTTTTAAAAAAACAAAAAACAAAACCTGATCTTTAACTTTCTGGTTTAACTTTGTTACTTTTTAAATTAATTATATGGTATTTCATTTTGTAAACTGCTTTGTTGGGCTACAAGGTGACACAGAAATGTGTTTTCAAACGAACAAGCAAGCAAGCCATGTGTCCTGGTTCATTACCACAGAACTGGAGATGTGCACAAAACAGGAAATGTGCTGTGTCTCCAAGCTGGAACAAAACGGTCCCACTTGAAACCATTAGTCAGTTCTCTTAGTGCAAGCCAGCCTAAATGTTTGGTTCCAACTCAAAACAAAACTCTCAGAACACAGATGTTTTGTTGTTGAGCTAAGGCCATTTCAAGACTGTTTTTTATGGCTAGAACATTTAACTTACCAAAGAACAGCATGCTTTCTGAAACCAAACTTTCTGAACAGTCAAAACGGCTATTTCAAGCTCAAGATGTTTTGAATTTGAAACATCTTGCACTTCATAGACTGTGATGGCTATCAAAAAAGCTGTGCTCCCCATTAGATGGATACCTGTAATCTGAGGACTTCAGCTGCCAAGTTTTTGGAATGGTCTTGGGAACTCTAGTTCAACGCCCCCCACCCCCGGGCTTTCCATTTCAATGCTGCCATTTTCCCCTCCTCAACTTTTTACCTTCATTCTTCCTGTTGTTGAGCTGGTTGAACTGCTCTGTAAACTCTGCCAGGGATTCCTCGATAGTCTCTGTCCGGGGAACTGAAAGGGAAAAGCGGCGCTTGAACGTTTTCATCTTGTTCATTGTATTCTGTAGAGCAAGACCACAGCTGGATCTGGTAGGGAAGAAAAGTAAAATGATGGCACTCAGTTTCATCACAGAACTGCAACCAAAGATATAGAAAAGGATATCCTGAATTCTACTGAAATGACAATCACAGCAAACAGGATGGTTCCCTCTTGCATTTCAATCAGCAGTGATTCGCACATGAAAAGATGGATTCGGTTTTTACTGGCCTGAAATGGACACAATGGTGGCATATGCCCAGCATTTGCTCTGATCATTGAGGAAAGATGAGTGTATGCTTTAAATCAGTGTTTTCGTAAACTTTTCAATAATATATATATTTTTTTAAAAAATGAGGATTACCGTATTTTTCCGACTATAAGACGCTCCCATGTACAAGACGACCCCCATTTTTCCAACCCAAAATTAAGAAATCAATATTTTAAAGATAGCCGACTATAAGACGCTCCCATGTACAAGACGACCCCCATTTTTCCAACCCAAAATTAAGAAATCAATATTTTAAAGATAGCCGACTATAAGACGCTCCCATGTACAAGACGACCCCCATTTTTCCAACCCAAAATTAAGAAATCAATATTTTAAAGATAGACCAGAGCACATTTTTATTTAGTAATTAGGTAACATTTATATACCAATACTATGATATTATGCATCACACTTAGCTTTGAGCATATCACTTTATTCAGCCTCTGTTGCACCACTGTTTTCTTCTTCATCGCTATTAGTTCCAGACATATCAGTTTCTTCAACTTCTATTGCATCACTGCTGTCTTCTGAGTCA